CTGTATCTACTAACAGTACTACGTACACGACTAAAAGCACAACGATTACTATACTAAATAAATGAAAATGCGTTATAGCGTGCTAGCTGTGTGAGCGAGAAGGCTGGACTCTTTGAATTCCGTTGAAAATTTTGCTTTTGTAGATTTTTTTACCTCTTTCCAGTAACCTCAGGAACTGCATACAGTGCTTTGGTATGGCATCTGGGTTCACAGAAACGGAGCAGTCAGGTGGAAAATTCCTTCAGGGGACGTGCAAGCCGTCCTCATCCCACAAGGAGTGGGCCGTGGAAACTAGCCACTCTCGATGTCTAATCAGACCTAGCCCGTGTAGCACCAGTGACATGCTAATAAAACTGTCAGGCCTTGGGACCAGTAATTTACACCCATGTTTTCAGATTCTCTGTAAGAAAAAAGAAACTCTCCTTGTGGATGAAAAATGATGTGTGAATCTGTAAGGCTAGGCTGAAAAGAAGCAGATGCTGACATTTCTAGATTTAATATTTTTGCCTTAAAAACACATCTGTCATCAGCCTCCACTTACAAGAGAGGAGGAGCACTTACCTAAATAAACATGGCAGCTGTTTTATACGATGGGCCTGTTTTTTAAATAGTAAAAAATACCGTCTCGTTTTGAAAGGTGTAGCCACCTTTAGTGTTAATTTACAATAATAGGTTGGAGTGTGTAGCTGTTCTCTGCTTTAGAATAATTTCAGATGACACTTCCTCACATTGTCTGAAAACCTCCCTGCAAGACCAGCACAAGTGGAGGGAAGGTTAATCACTGGAAGTGCGTGCAGCTGAGAACACTGCATATGCCTAAAACTCGCTGAGGAGAGACTTCTGGGTTGTGATCTCAGGAGCACATTAAAAAAATGAGGAGTAGGGAAAAAAGCACAAGAACTTTTGGAGAAGTAAATGATCAGAGTTCTCTGCCTGTGGGATGAGGGTTACAATATAAATAATTCACGTTTTTTCAAGTGTCTTCGCTCTTTTAATTAACTTACTTCTTTCCAGTAGTTCAACAAATCCTACGTATAAAAATGTATGATTCTCTTTCCTACAGGAATCTTTAATGAGTCACTTTACACTGATTTTAAGACCATTTTACCTCATTAGACAGGTACAAAGGACACTTAACAGGGCCAAGGAGAGACCTACACTTGCTTGCTTATTATCTCTCTTAGGGACTACTAATGGCTTTTGATGATGCATGTGGTGTGACCTCCCGTTCTTAGTCTTAATGTGATGTAAGTATGTTCTGAAATGCAAAATGCAGAAAAATCTTCCTGTGTGAGAAGTCCTAGAATGTGAAAAATTCTTCCTTCAGGATATGTGCTCTCTTCGTTAGGCTCTAGAAGCATAACCCTGGTTTCTACACAACCTGATGGTTTCATATGGATCTTTTCATTTTTGCCTGCTTGGTGGTGTTGCCTTATGAAGAACATGATGGAGTGCCTTTGCCTCAGACTCCAGTTAGCAGGATGTTACTGGATAGGTAGATGGCAAGTATTTCCAGCTCCTCTGGCGGTCTTTTGAATGAAGTTGGCCACATGCTGTGTCCTGAACACGGTGTGCGTATATGACCTTGCAAAGAATTTAGGTATGAGACTATCCAGTTTGTGTCATGTGAGCTTAGCTTGGAGGTAAGTGCCAAGCTGGTCGGCTTGCCGTAACGGTGCTGATCCAGAGCAAGAACAGCACCAGGCCTTTAGGCAGGTGCCATAAGGGCTAGTCTGGTCAAAATATGGCCAGCCCTGGTGTGCTATAGTTGCCTAAATGGTTAAACCCATATTTCTGTAGGTTCTACGTCATGCCTAAGCTGTCCCTGAGGAACCTACAATCTTTACAGATCTGGGCATCAGCCTTTTACAGGTGCATTGCTGCCAATGAGAAGTCAGTAACTAGGAACAGGATCCCACCCATAAATGAACAGCAGTAGCTGGATATGAACTTTATTGGGAAAAAAGCTGGAAGAAAAGACAGGGAAGACCTGAGTGTATGGTCATGGTCCATGCAGGGGTGTGAAGGAGGGAATGGACTTCTTAGGGTTTCATCCACCCTCTCCCCATGCGTGTGCAGATGGTTTGCAAGCCAGGAAGGAGGGAAAAACTGTGGTTGCCCTATCATTCAGCCTTGCTAGCCAGGACTAGGAAATGCCGGAATTTGCTGCTGATGCTCTGTAAGTCATTACCCCTGGAGGAAGGAGGAAGCGGTAGAGGAACTATGACTTGTAAATGATTCCTAATCAAAGTGCTTCCCAAGGCTATTCCTGGAGAGCTGCAGATTCCTCAGCACCCCTTGCTCAGGCTTGTGTTTAAGACCAAAATGTGTTACTTTCCTTTGATCACGAGCTGGAGTGTGCCCCACCCTGGAGTAAAGCCAAGCTGTATCTCTGGGGAGGGACAGCTCTTGGTAGTACAAAGCAGTGGAATTGTGCACTGCGGTACTAGGGATGTTACTATAGATAAGTACTGTTGGTCTACAGTGAGTATAATCCTACACCACTTCAGGTAGACTGAAGCTACCCCTGTGACTGTTTCCCTGTAGGAGCAGTTTCATAACCTACTGGTTTCATAAAGGTAGCCTAGTTTTCCTAAAACTTTATTTCCAAGAAATCCTCTGAATGGGCTGCAGTTTAGCACTTTCTCTTGCTGAAGTCTGCATAACACTTTAAAGTGTATTTTTTAACTCTCTTTGCTAAGTGCTTAGGACAAACAGGATCTCCTGTTAATAAAAAACTTTGATGGATGCATTAAGGAAGCAGTGTGTATGTAATCCTATATTTCCTGAGGTTACCTCAGCAGTATACGTGGAGCATAACGTTTAAAGAGGGTACGTGCATGTGTAAAGGTCTTGTAAAAAGCTAGAAATAGTGTCCTTACTACTACTACAACGGTATGATTTATTTTACCATGGATGTTCTACAGATAACCAGTGTGCTTTATCATCAACCTTCAGGCAAGGGCATCCATAAATTGGAGAAACAGCCGGCGCAGGATTAAGTCTCAACCTCTCCAATACCTCATTGCCCTGAATCACTGAAGGAGATTTGTTCTCTTTGCTTGTGAATGGAACAGTGATTTGGTGGGGGCTATTCTGGCAGGTTTTGACCTAGTAACAACTTTTCCAAATTCAGGTGTGTAGGCACCTTCTTCTCAGTTGCGTGCTTTTTTCCTCTTCCAAGAATAACCCTAATTGGTTTTATTCATGACCTCGTTTATACATTTGCACCTCCCAAAAAACGAAGCTTCAAACCATGCGATGAAGCAAAGTTCATATTGTCTACAAGAAAGTATCTGCACTGCTGAAAAGAAAGCCTTTATGTTGTATCTAAATGCCAGATGTCAGGATTTGGGCATTTGGAGATTTAATTCACTCGAGCCTTGCAATTTAGTCCTGCAGATAACTTAAGGGGAATTATTTAAAACTAATGCTCTGAGGCGAAGCCGTGCGGATACATCTGTAGAGTTTCTTGTCGTGACCAAGTATTTTAAAGAATGATGATGAAGTGAGAGTCAGAATTGTCACCTTTCTCAGGACCATAATGGTACTAGTATTCTGCGTATGCAAGAAACACGCTGGGGACACTGGAGGGATTTAATAACTGTGTATCTCTGCAAAAGGGACTGTTCAGGAGGAAAAGCTGTTCTCAGAAAGGAGGCCAGTACTGCGCTGCAGTGTGGGAACTGGAAGTGGGGGTGAAGGTAGTCACTGATAGCTGCCAAAGTTTGGGGTTTAGAGGAATACTGTCTACTGTAGGACATAGCAAGAAAAGCTTGTAAGGTGGTGTCACAAAGCTTATGCTGCAGAGAAAGAAAAAAATGAAAAGAAGGAAAACCTTTGTGCAAGTTTATCTTCTGAAAAGCAAGTGCTATTAGTATAAATATGTTGTGGCAGTGACGATCATGTTGCAAGCGTTGGGTTAGGACTTCAGAACGTGATGCAAATGCACTGGTGGTGCATACACAACTGTACGCCCACTGGACTGTGCTTCATGTGTTCTCGATGCCAAGGAAAACAAAGCAGCCTCCAACTGATTCAGGGGAAAAGTCATGGCTGCAAGAAGCCAGGACCTGCTTTACAGAGCTACTGCTCTGCTTCTAATAACCGAAGTTAGGAAAGTCCCTTGGATTTAACCCTCACTTTCTTCTTATCTGGGATGAGATGTGAATAAGCTGAAGAAGTTTGTTAGTGTTTTTTTAATAGTTTTTCTGGCCACAGACGGTTTCCAGCATAACATGTTTCATTGCAATTTTTCATAGAAACAGTTCTTTTTAGAAGAGAAATAAATAATTGCGTGGCTCACGGCAAAGCTTCCATAGTCACTGGAGACCTCTGGTGTAACAGCTAAATGAATCACAAATAGCTGAACTCTCTCCTGCAGCGGCATGCCAGAATTGTTTCCTTGCCAAGGTCTTCACTTCCCTTCTGCTGTCCCCACGAAGCTGCTGCTCTCTAACCCCAAGGTGGTGGAGAGCTTTGCCCCTTTCTGCAGTGTGGGGCTGCCCTCCTGGCCCATTTCTGCTTACGCTGTTATCTTGGCTCACTTTTCACCACTGCCCTGTGCAACTTCTGGGACTTTTGTTGAAAATGCTGTCGTCCAAAGTGGACTGAAAATTGATGGAAAGACTCCCACTGATTTGTAGGGCCTTTGGTGCAGTCCTTGCCTACATCCTTCCTTAAAATCCGCCTCGTCCACCAGGTGTATGTCTTCTAACCCTCAGCACTATAGAAAGGCGTTGTGCTATAGCGAGTGCTGTATGGCGCTAGATCCATGTCCTATTTTCCCCAGCAGCATTCAGAGAGATGACTTTGCACTGTTTGAGTGTGCCCTGTGCAGCAACTGGCAGGGAAAGTAGAGGGGGAAGCACAGCCTACAGAAGGATGTCTGGTTTATAAGGAAACATCGAGACATGCGTGGAGGGTATATGCAGTCGTACCTGTGGTTCTGACACTTCTATTAAGTAGCTCTCTTAATAACGAGCTAATTTTAATTTCAGAAGTCTGAAGCCTTTTGATATTACTACCCAGCACGAACCATACAAGCTGCAGCAGCAGCAGTTTAATGAGACCTGCAGCAAGGTCGAGAGTTTGATTAGTAAGCGTGTGAAATGGCAGCAAGTGATGGAGGTAAGGTAAAAGGATTCAGACTAGAGGAAAAGCTGGATTTGAGGTGCTGGCTGACCATCTCTGTGCTGAAAGCAAGAACTAACATGCTATGTAGCACTGAGCTTAGTGGGTATTGAGAAAATGAAGATAACTTTTTAGATACTCTCTCGCTGGGAGAAAAGTTCTGAGGAGTTAAGAGATGCTCTGTTGCTGGGAGCAGTGCCTGGAATAATGAAACAGCCCACAAAGGTGTTCGAGGTGCACTGTGCATCCAGACATCTCTGAGCTGCAGAGAGATAATGTTGATTTTTTAACCATCACCTAGCAGGAGGAGGAATGGGCCCTTACATTACAGAATTGAAAACTCTGGCTTCTGCATGTAACTTCAGAGACATTACAGAGTACATAATGAAAGACAGACTAATTTGCGGGACAAATTATTTCAGTTTGCGGGAGAGATTTGTTGAGAGAAACAGATCTACCCCCGGAAAAAGCCTGAGTTGTTGAACTGTCCAGGAGAAGGATCAATAAAATAATAGCTCCCAAAGCAAAACAAGTATGTGGGCTCCAGCTGAAAGTGTCCAGCACTCAGGGTAGTTGCAGTCCACTTTGGAACACGGGTATCATGAATCCATGTAGGTAATGGGGAAAAAAAACAGGAAAGAGAGGAAAAAAAATGCTTCATCTCGTGGGAATACTGCAATAGGTACAAGACGCAGACCTGCCTTATGTTGCCCTGCTAACCTAGCAACAGAGGGATTGTTTCAGGAGCAGCAGAAGTAGTGAAGCTGTGTCTCTATAGACGTGTGGCCCTTGCTCCTTTATCTGCCCCGACTGCAATAATCTGAGCTCTCCTCCAGCCCCTCCATGGCACAAGTGCCAAGCAAAAGTCAGGAGGTCTGGGAGACGCTGCCTGGACAGCCAGCTGCTGCCTCCTGGGAAAGGAACTGTGGGCTCTGTACTCTCTGCAGCAGTCCAGTTTTGATAAAACTTGTAGGAACTTAATGTCCTTGAGCTCTTAATGTAGATTTTTGCCGTTTTATCTCTGTATACCTTTTTGGAGGAGTCCCGTGATCATTTGTGGCTGGAGCTGATCAGGGATTCACAAGCTACAGGTGTGCCTGGCTTGTGCCTGCCTAAACCTTTTTTCCTTAGGAAATCAGCCCGAAAGGGGAAAAGTACACAGCGTGATTACATCTTTCAAGGCTTCCAAGTGAAGAGGGGCTGTTTACAACATCACTTCCAACAGTGCTGAGAGCTCAGTGCGTAAGCCCCGGAGGGGAGAGGGCTGCTGGCTGTCCAGCTGCTGGGCTCTGCAGCTAGGATGTTGGGTCAGCGAGCGATTTGATTTCAGCTGGATCGTGAAGCCGGATGCAACACAATCCCAGCATAGCCTGTTCGTCCACCTCCTCACACAAAAAGGGTCAATGCAAATCGTGTTTCGAGACTTGAAAGAACCAGGATCAGCAGCAGCCTGATTCCGAAGTGGAGAGCCGTACCCCAAAACAGCGTACTTCACGCTGTAGCAGGGTGCTGTGGTATTTCAGATATGCATTTGCAAACAAACACAGCACCCCACTTCCCTCTGAAAAAAAGAAAACGTCTTTTTGTCATCTAAGCAATCCCAGGAAAAGTGGCTCTCGAGAAGTGGAATAGATGGGAAGATGGGATTGGCTTGGCACTTACACGAGTCCCTTTGTGCACGCGGTATCTGGTTGATGGAAAGCGTATGACTATTTTAGAGACTTCATCCTACCCTAAATTACTAAGTAATGGGTGATTTAGATAATTCCTCAGCAGCCGGATGCAACCACAGACAGATTAACTTTCGAAAGAGGGAGGCTTTTCAGTTCCTGGTTTTAGGTCAAGATGTTCTAACTCTGTGACACTTTGCAACGGCACTTGCGATTTGCTGGGAGCTCAAGGACATGAATTTACATTAGTCCTAGACAACTGATTGAACTTTCTTATTAATACAGCTTGTTTGTGACAATGACACAGTTCACCGAACTACTGGTGTCATAAGGGTGCACAGGAAGGGAGAGGTGGTAGAGTCAAACTCTTACCTGCTAGAAATTGATGGAGTTCTTTAGACGTCTCCTGGCTGCGTCAAGGAATGTCTTTGCATCAGATTGAGAGAAAACAGAGGGAAACGATTGTTTAAGAATTGTGCCCTTCCTTTGTCCCAGAGCTTGCTCTAGAAATTTAGTCGTAAGAATCTTTCAATTTACCATTTCTAATCTGTATAGATTTTAGCTGGTATTTAAGACAACATTTATATCCACATTCAATCTGCACGATCTGGTGCTAAAAATGAAGGAGAGCTCTTTAAAGCATTCGCTGCACATGCAATTCTTAGGACACCACACTAGACTGTCACTAGGACCACTTTGTGATTCCTTCCTACAGCAGTGATATCCCAGCAAAAACAGGGTTTGAGATCTAGATCCAGAGTTTAAAGATCGAGCACACACTAGACAGTATAAATACCTGTTGTTTTGAACTGAAGCTCAATATCTCCCTGTTCTGAATTTTATCCAGTATTTTCTAAGGAAGCATTTTGAAAATCGTAGTCTAGATCGGGCTGCAGGGATGTGGGAACTCTGGCTTGTCTGTCTGTCTGTTTGCTGAACTGACTGATACGCTGTTTGCTTTTATGCTGAGAACAGTTTTGCTGCTTTGTGCATTCCCTAAAAACCTTTTCCCTCCTGTGACACTTCCAAGGAACTCTCACGGTGCACGACACGGCTGTTTCAGGGACCCTGAAATACTGTGTAAGGGTGGAGTTACTCCCAGAGGCTGTCTGCCACATACTGCACCAGCATTCTTATAAGAACCGGAGTGTCCTTCATCCGATTTGGGAGAGAATACCTATTTTATTTCCAAATTAAAACCACTCTCTGAATACGGTATCTGCTCACCTTTGTGCCTGAAGTCTACTTACATGGCACATCAGGGACTGTACCTCTGATTGTAAACCCAAGGCATGGGTTTGCAAGCATGTGATTCCAGGGCTGTCTTGAAGATGTTTGCGTAGTATATGTTGCTGCCTTGTTTTTTGTGTATTTAGTGCATGTTTGGGAGGTAGTGGAAGTCTAGTAGTTAATATGTCAGGCAGAGCTCCTGGTGACCAACAAGTGTATGCCTGCCAACACACTATCCAATTCAGGTAGGAAGATCCTTATACACATCAGTGAATGTGGTGTAGTGAAGTAGGAGTCCTGGTACACCTTGATCTTTCTTTTTCCAGAATGGTAATACTCGTCATTATCTGAATCTCAAATGATGTGTCTCTCTCTTTATCAGCAGATTTCTACTCATTGCCTTTATGCCATTGCTATCACAAAAACAATAATTCTCTTAATATGTTCGTGGTGGTTGTAGTCACCTGCACCATGTCAACCAGCGGTTGACAACAAACAGTCATACGGTTGTGTGTTTATTTGTCTTCTCTTGCCACTGGCATGGGGCAGACTTGCTCAATAGTGATCCTGTTGAACTTTCACAGGTAGTTTTCATGCTGGTGGCGTAAAATCTTTATTCGTAGCTGGAGACAACCTTGAATGTCTGTCTTAGTTCTTACAGCAACCCCTGCTGAGGGTACAGTGTGTGTCTGACCTTGCTCTAAATATCTGGAATATGTATCCTGGAGTTGAGAGAAATGTAATGCTGATATTTCTTTTTTTTTTTTTCCCTGTAAGGATAGCCTCATTGGTAGCAAATGAAACCTTTCACACTTCTTCTAGAATGAAAGTTAAAAATAAACACCTGCAATCCACTGTGGGCTGAATCCTAATGCCAGCACTTGGCCAAAATATTCTGTAAAATCAATGGGAATTTTACTTCTGTTGGAAGATTAGCAGAGCCTTTCAGGCACGAGGTGAACATAGGGCAAAACTAGGGAGGAATCTTTTTTAGATGATTTATAGCTTCACTAAAGCACAGAGATAAAGCCTGAAAGTGAAATGGAAAATGAGATGCCCGCAAGAAACATGGTTCTTGATAATGCTAAAGTTAACCTTTAACATGAAATAACATGTATATAAAATATTATTAAGTTTAGACATGCTCGTTATCAGCAGCAAGCAAATTGGGAGTATGGAAACCTCTGTCCTCCTGAGATTTCATGAGTGCTTTCAAAATCTGCTTATGACAAGGGCAGCTCTTTCACTCTTCTTGCCCTCGTGGTAGAAGAAGCCCAAGGCTCACGGAGATTCATTGCAGCAGACTCCCAACCTTTGGGGAGTTTTTGGACAGACACTTTTTTTCTGCAGCCTCTTCTCTCTCCGTCTGTCCTGGCACACAAGCTGCATACGTGCTGTGCACCTGGCATGTGGGTCGCCCGCCCAGAAACTGCGCTTGATCCTTCATCCAGTGTCTCCAGCGAAGTCAGCCACAGCCTGGATGGATGCATCTCTCAGCTCTGCCAAGTTTCTCATGTCCTTATTGAGCAGTGAGTTATCATAGTCGAGGTAGGAGCTTAGCAGAAGCGGATGGGCAGGTAGCTAGACTAGCTCCATGCTTTCATTTTAGGAATGACTCGTTGTCTGTCTTTCTCAAAGATAGACCAGTCGTGGGAAAGTCAGAAAGTGTTAGTTCATCTTCTCCTCTCTTCTGTCTCGTGAGAAAGCTGCTGAGACGAGATGATACCTCAATCCACGCCACTCTTCGAGCTGATGCCAGGGAGCCTCTGGCTTTGTTTTGCAGATAAGAAAGTGGCAGCAGGAGTCACAGTGGTTTTGTCTCTGAGGTGGAAAGTGTATCTTTTCATTGTAGATTTCTTACAAAACCCGGTGCCTCCAGAGGACCGTGGACTTGCAGCAGCATCCCCCTGATTAAGGCTTCACGTAACTATCGCTCAAGGATTTATTTGCTTAGCTCTCAAACAGCATTTCTCACAGGAAGCAGATGTCGCGTGTACTTTATTGGTCTGTGCTGGCTTCCAGTTCAGGTTTGGTTTTACTGGAAGGTGTTGCTTCGGACCTGGAATATTCTGGCTGCGTGGAAGAGGTTACGCTGAACAGGGAAACGAGACCTAAAAGCTGTAGATGTAATTGGGAGGTGGAGGAGGCAAGGTGTTTACTGTGCAGTTCCCACCCTGGCTTAGGCCATCCAAAGCCAATCTTTTTGCTCTGCAAAGTTTTTTTTTTTCCCTTGATATTTTTGTTGAACTTTTGTTGCACTGTTTTTTCTGCATGATTCTGTTCTGTGCAATTTAAGGCACTGGCAGCACTAGCTAATCCTGCTTTGAAAGCTGGTACTCTGAATGCTTTGTGGGTTTTGAATTGTGATGACTGAGGCTTTTAAGAAACTAGAAATACTGTGTAGGTTTTGACATTTCCTTGTAGTGCTTAATGAGCTATCTCTCTAAGCTTCGTAGGGCAAGCAGAATTATTTTTACTTTAAATGGTAGTTGGTTTGTTTCAGACTGGTTTTGAGCTTACACCCTAGCATGATATTCAAGCCTGGAAGGGCCTGTCTGGGACAGCAGGAAGTTAGAAAATAGTTTGGTGTTAAAACCAGCATTACCACTGGAAGCAGGAGTAGCAGTGGGGTAAAGAGAGAGATGCAACTGGTCTTAGTTTTGTGCAGAGGAGGAGCCGAAACCAAAGGTAGAAAAAGGAGCTATAAACAAAAGGCTGAAATGAAGAAATATTTCATATTATCCATGGCATTTTCTATTTAAAAAAACACCTATACAACAGGCTGTAAAGGCAATGTCTCAATAACATGCCAAAGCCTGAGCTTCGATTCAATCTGTTGGAGAAGCAAAACTCCAGAGCAGTTCTGCAGAGGTGCAGGATACGTGACTATTAAATACAGAAGCAAGGTTGTAAGAAAGAACCTGTGCTTACCATATGTTGGAGCATTGCTTTATCTTCCATAGATGTACCCCTGATCCTGTCACCAGGCTGGCTGAGGTCTCCCTGCCCTACTTTCCCATTTGCTGAACTGTCACCGAAGTTTGAACTTTGTCTTTTCTTACCCTTTTTCCCTGGGCTGAATGACAGCACTGCTTCAGACAGCCCTTCTTTGGTATTTTCTCTTTCATTCTGCACCTGTGTGTCTTCTCACAGAGCTATTCCCCGAGCATCACAAGGAACATCAGTGAAGAGTTCATTTTGTTTTGTCAAGTTTCTGGTCTGACCCTTAATTTAGAGCAGTCATTTCAGTCTACAATAAACTCTGTGTTCCTGCATGCTGCAGTGAAAGAATTACGAGCAGTCCTCAGCCATGTGCACTCAGGATGCTTTGGTAGCCCCATGGGACAGGTAGACTTCAGTGCCTGAAAACTTATTATAGACCAGGGGTACAGTCAGGATGTTATTTTCTGTATAATAGTATATACATGAGTCTGCCTGTATGTGAAAGCTTTTACATGATTCACTGAGGCCATTAGGAGTGGAATGGCATACCAGCGTTTCAGGCACAGAGCTCTTCAAAATGAACAGCTTTTTCCATCTTTCTCCGGGGAGCGAGCTCCAAGAGGCATCGAGCGCATAGGTGGGAGGAGACTGTTCCTAAGTCTTCCATCGCAGCATCCAGGAACACAAAGCTTATTGTTGGGATGAGCCTGCAGCTCTGAGTGATGAATAAGGCAGGGCAGTTAGATGAAACAGGGCTGACTTCTTTTGCTAGGACAAAGGTGGACTGACTTTGAAGGTTTAACATCCTGAACTTCTCATGAGCATATGGAACACATGTTGGTAGAGAGACCAGAGCTATCTGTAAGCGCGGTGAAGTAATCGCGCAACGGAGCAGAATGAGAACAAAGGTCTCTTTTTGACTGACTTAATCTTAGACATACACTCTATGCTTTCATCTTTGCTGTGCTTTTTGCCTCTCTCTGTTTCTGATATCCAGTCCAGGTTGCTTATTTTTTTCTTTTTTTTCTTTTTTTTTTTTTTTTTGTGCCACATTAGTTCTCAAAATTTCATATATCCTCTTGGTTTTCGGTCCTCTGAAGAAATCAGACCTTCTGGGTTTGCATAGTTGGACTCAGAGGCTAACAAGAATGTGCTTTCTTAAGTGATTTTGACTTATTTGGTTTCTGAGGTCATGGACATAGTGGAAGAACACCTGCTCTCGTCTTGCTTCAGCACTTAATCCGTGTCCCAGACAAGCCTAGAAGGGCACAGCACAGGAGGTGAAGAATAATGTAAAAAATTGCTCAATATCTTTTTTCAACATCCGGAAAGGTTCATGGATAATGATTTTATTCTCCCTGGTTTTCTCATATCCTCATCAAGAAATAAGATGGAAAGGCACTGTTTCTTCAACTATTACATTTATTGCTTGAGAGAATGAAAAAATATGAATAATCCAAGGTCTCTGCACGCAACATAGAAAGTGGTGAAGGCCAGTTGTACACGTTCCTTGTATGCCTGATGCAAGCAGAAATTTCTGCTGGCAAATACTGCTTTGGCTAAGGGTTTTCAAGACTTGTTACCAGTCTGTGTGGGTGTGTGTGCATCTACTTGACATTTTGCCTTTTTTTTTTTTTTCTGACTGAGCCTATTTTCCTTCAGGATGGCAGGACACAGTGCATCCAAGAAGTCTGCCCTATTCTCTCATGTCCCCAGCACCTCAGTCACATTCCTAGTGTTGCCCCAAATGCTTAGGTGAGTGGGTCTTTTTCCTGGGAATTTTGTAATTAATGTGATATGTTTCTGCTTAGAGTCTTTCATACCAGTATTTCACAATACTGGTAAATTCTGGGAAGTGGAAGAGACAGTATTGCTCAGTGGAGTTTATAATCTACAGGTTTAAACAGGTGCTCAGGGTCAGTGTGTAGGATTGGGATGGGTGGTACTAAGCAAGCAGCTGCAGAGCATAGACCAGTTGTCTTGCTTAGAAAGAGAAACATAGAGGTGTTTCCCACTGTCATTACACATGTTTTATAAAGGAGGTTGAGACAGGAGGAAATGTTTTGTTGGGATTTGCCACAAGAAAAAGGCCTCACCCTCTCATATTTTTATTCAAGTGTGCATTTGCATGCTTGGTTTTGAGGAAACGCAGGTCAGAGGAAACAACTGGGCAGAAATTGCATTTTTAGAAGCTGGTGTTGGAGAGGCCAGGGACTCAGGAGTCTGCCTCGTGGTCAGCTTCTTCAGGTGAAATCACAGTTTCAGCCAGGAATATTTTCAATTGTCTTTCCAGCACATTTTAAAGGAGTAAGTCAGAGGCCTCGAAGAAGAGCTAGTTCTTCCAAGTCATGCCAAGGAAGGCAGTGACTTTTGAGAGTCCTTATTTTGGTCTTACCATGCCCACAGATCCCACAGGTTTACTTTCCTCAGCATGTGTCCCTCTATTTCATAAACAAGGAGCACTTATATCCTACCAGGTAAATTAGCTTTGTTTTGGTCTATGAGGTTATAACTAGCTTTGGAAAGTTTCCAGAGCTGATAATTCCCAGTTATTCAACAGAAACTTTTTGTCAAATTGACTGTATCTTCACTACTATTCGAAGTCTGGTTCTAGGGCTAGGTTGGGGTACAGAGAGGTCTGGCCTTGGAGGCACCAAGCCATAGAAGGGTTCCAGCTTTTCATAATACTTACTGGTTTTGACTGCTTGAAACAAATCTGAATTTCTTTATTTATTTGCTTATTGAGAAGTGCTACAGATAAATATCTGCCTGGAACATTTAACTGCAGCACCAGAAAGTAATACAGTAGAGAAATGAAACGGAGAGGAGAACAGTCCAAATGCTGAGCTTCTATTTTGGCTGAGGACATTTTTCCTTTCCTTCTGTAAACTCTCCTTGTCCTCTCCACCCCATGCTTTTCCCAGCTGAACCTTCCCCCCCTTGATCTAGGCATTCAAAACCCAGCTTTAATTTTTGACTGCTTTGTGGGGATTTTTCTATAGATTCTTTTTTCCCTCTTAGAAATGTCTGTAAATGAGCGCACTAATAATATTTTCATTTTATGTGGTCTTCGCTCTAAAACGTGTCATACACCTGTGAATAGATAATGTCTATTCCCAGGGAAATGTTGAAAGTTTTGGAGTGGAGGTAAAGCCGAGGGACATGTCGCACACTGCATGGTAATTGGGAAAGAGAAACGTTTTCAGGGATGCTGAGGCATGGTTTTTAAAGTATCGTGTGGAGGACCTCCCTGCAATTGAATTCCTGATACTCAGCGTATATAGCTTAGAAGAATGCAGTGGACTCTACTGGGACTTGATTTATTAGTTTAACTAGTGGTTATGAGCCAGCAAAGCCAACCATTAAGCCAATATCTTTACCACCCCATCTTTTAAAGTGGTAGCTCCTTTGTCAGTGGTTTTTTACCAACTATTTCAACTGAGTTGGCCACCCGGAATTGCACTGGGTGGTTTGCAAGGCATGGCAGGAGGGTGTGAGAGAGAGCTGGGCTTCTGTTCACTTGTTGACATAAGTTATGTGGTTGAAGTCCTGGTCCCACGTAGAGCAATAGGAGTGTTGTTACAGGCAGGACTATAGCTAAGGCTTTGCCCATAAGTGGTGCATGGATGTAGAGCAGTTCCTTTTAGGGCTACTGAGCGTCCTCGACTGATTTCATAGGTCAGTCCTGCAAGAAAAATTCACCCTTTTCAGAAAGATGCACATCCAAGAAAAGGAAGGCTGAGTTATGCAAGCACAGATTAGTCCAAGGTAGCTCATTTGCAAGAGAGAGATGTTCAAATTGTGCCTAACTGAACAATAGCAATTATTTCTTAACTTTTGTTTAATAGTCATTTTAACATTAGATTTGTAAAAACTAAAGGCTAACCCAACGGGTTTTGCTGTGTGCTTATCCTTTTGTTCGCTTATATCTCAGAGGAAAATAGAACCTTTTTCTTTTAAGCTGTTCTGCATTTCTCAAGAATTATTGAAAGGGGAAGGAATTACAGCATGCCAAGACCTGGTGGTTTGAGAGCTGAAGTATTGGCCTAGTACGTAGTGACTTCTTGTATGTACTTGTAGTGGCCATTCTCTACCTCGGAATTGATGCCTATTTAACATCAGACCTCAGAAATGATAAGCCAGGAGACTGGCAGCCACTCGTAAAAGAGCTTACTAGTTGACTGCCACCAAAAATAAACAGGGGAATGTATTCAAAACCAGGAAGATAAGTATAGTGATTTCACGTTAGTTTTTGTAAAGAGCTCATTTTTATCTATCATAATGGTCAATTGTTTAAAATAACCTACTAGGAAAGAAGCTGAGGAATGAGAGAAGCTTGCAGAACCACAAAGTGCGTTGCAACTTGGATCTGAAAGCGCTTGCAGGACCGCAGGACTTCAGGAAGGATTTGATATTGATGCTGCCTTCCCTGTGTAGTGCTCTAAACCTTGCCTTGCTCTCATGAAACCCAAATGTTTTATGGGTTATGGAAATGAAATATCTTGTGTCTCCTTCATTCTGCTCATAAACAATGCCAATGCCTGTATTTCTTGCAACCTTGTGTGCCCATGGTACACCAAGCTATCTTAATGAGACTGGACAACACCGATGGGTTTTTTTTTTTTTTGCATCAGTGTCACTGAGTGGATTTAGTTTGGCTGCTGTGAACCCCTGAGGTAGATATGCTAAAACCAGTTAAGGCTGCTTTATTTGATAAGTTGTTGCATTAAGTTAAAGACTGTTTAAACTAGTTTAAGTGTACCTACCCTAAGAGTTTGCAGTGCTTACTTTTTATTCCTTTAGCTGCCCTGTGAACTTTATGATGAGAAGGAGAAGAAAGATTTTTCCAATATAAACATGCCATAAATCATATTTATATTCCCTCCCACAGTAGAATTTGTACAGATGAATGTGTGCTAGAAGAACAGTGAACTGTTAAAAGTACTTTTTCTTTTTTTTTTCACACCAAAATGGAAACACATAGCAAATGACACATTGCACATGAATTTGGTCTGGTGACAATAAGCCCTACTATTTTTGTGGACAATATGGCATCTTTTCAACCGCATTCTGTTTCTATTTCTGTTTATTTGTATTCAGGACAGAGGAAAGTGTTTGACCTCCCATTTGGAAGCTGCCTCTTTCACAGCAATGTGTATGATAATGGGTCCTCATTTATTTATGACAACTGCACGATGTGTACATGCAAGGTAAGTCCACAGGGCTTTGGTATTGTGTGCTGCTGGTTGTCCAGTTTAGCAGTAATTTGTAGGGCTGTGGGATTGTAAACCCTGGTACTGTTCTTCTTTGGCAACTTGTGTGGTCCCTGAGAATCCGATCTGAAGAGCACTTGCAGTAGAGGTAGGAAAGTTTAGAAACTTTTAAAAATTCCTGACTGCCTCAGCTGAGACATGATGCCCGACTCTGTGATGCAAAATGAAGTTATTCAGATTATGTGATCCTCTTTAAGTTTGCATTACAGTGGAAGAGGAGTTTCTAAATGATGAGTTACCACATCTCTGCTGAAGGGCAGTGATTTTTTTTTTTCAGTTCCTCTAACATGACTGTGAACACTTGCACTTTTGCACCTAGGCACAAAACCTGAAAGTTTCACCAAATCAGTACGATTTTGCGGGCCAACAGAAGTACAAGCTGGGCTTTTTAGCTTCATGGACTGTGAAAGATTCCCTTAACCAAGTAAATAATTTTTACTTTCTCTCAGCTGACCTATCCAAAGCAGTTAGGCTGTAGTTTGGGTGGATGCAATGGCTAAGCAAGCAGAAACGTTATGGTAAGGACACACAGGAGCACAAACATTTTGGTGATGATTTCATGATTTCCTCTTGTCCTTTTACTCAGGATTCAACAGTGATATGTAAGAAGAGGTGCTTACTTCCCAGTGAATGCAATAAAAACAAAAACCACTGCTGCAAGGAATGTGTCTCATATACGTCTCCTGAGGAAGTGAAAGTGTGCAAGTTTGGCAATAAGATCTTCCAGGTAAAGTTTCAGGTGTGGTTCTAGAACAGATGCCATTGTAACAGCTGAAACAGCAGGAGTTTGCTGAAAATTAGTATTGTGGCTTGTTTTTTAGCAGAATCCTCACCATCCTGGTTGATGATGGAACAACTTGGAGGCACAGCTTCACCAAATTTGCCATCTGCTCTTTTTCTTTCTGAGTTTCAGTAGATTTTGTTGACGCGCAGCGCTTAAAGATGAGCTCCTCCTTGATGTGACACGTTGTGTCCCTTTCCGTACGCGGAGATCCAAGCTGCTGTTTCATGACAAATAATGCTTTTTTAGTAAGAGATAGTAATGCTCTGCTTTCCCAAACAAGCACTGATATTCATGGAGAAGGTATTCTGAGTGATATGTAGGCTTCATCTGCTGAGCCAAAGAGGCTTTTCCGTCGCTGAGCCAACAGGAGCTTTGTGATGTTCGTCTTGGCTGAAAGTTCCTAGTCTTGATTTACTACATTTCACATCTCTGCTAAGGACAGCGCCCCTGACATCTTATGTTGGGATGGCCGTGTGATAACTGTTACCCACTGCACTCTCACCCAATGTTTTCCAAATCACAAGGGATTCCCTGCGGAACACTTCTGCTGTTGCTGAGACCCTGTTTGTTTTTCCAAGCGGTGCGGCTTTTTTCACACTGTGTCAGGAAAAGATTCTGTCACCTCACGGGCCATCTGTGAATTAAGAGACCCTTGCATCAGATCAAATGTTAAATCCTTTGTGAATACTTGGTTTGCTCAGCCAGAATTGCTTCCCACTTATTCCATCTTTTGTGTACATAGCCAAAGTGTTTATTCTGGAAATTACATGTGAACCTACTGTACACTGAGACTACTCTCCATCTGATTGGCACTTTCACACTGGTGCTATTGTGCTTCAGGAACAAATGCCTGTTTCTTAGGCACCCAACTAAAATATTCTGCTTCTTGTGAAGATTTTATTATATTACTAAGTATTATATGGAGTAAGAAAAAAATAACGAGACAGTACATCCGTTCTGGCCTCGTGTGCAAAAAGGTAAATCCAGCGTCACTCTGCTGAAGTTAATGTTCTAACACAGATAGAGTGGGCACAGCAAATGTGGTTTTGCACTCCTGTGTGAAAAAAAGCTGTGAGACAAAAAAAAATCAGGGTAGCTGCATGCACTCAGCTGTGATATAGCAGCTGGTACCTTAGCAGAGTCTTGGGGAGTGGTTGTTAGAGGCCCACGAGAACTCAGGCAGCATCAGGAACACGAGGCAATGGAAAAAACGTGGCCTGGATAAAAAAAAAAGATGGGGGAGAGGCAGTCTTGGACCAAGCATGCTGCACTGAATAAGTCAGGCTCCTTGGCATTTCAGATTTAGTCTGTTTTTCTCTCTGGTCAGAACATCATGTTGAGGTGGGCAGGTAATTGTTCACAGCTGTCTGGTTGGACTGCCCGTTTGTGTCGGGTCTATCCTCACCCTTCCTTCCCAGCAGCCCTGTGAACAGCAAACAGGCACATTTTGGCTCTGCGGGCTAGCACAAGGCTGTAAGTGGGTAAGACAGAATGTTTTAGGAACCAGGCTTGGCAAATGCAACGCTATGTAAAAAGGAGCCAGCGCAGTTCCACAAGCAATCCTCCCCAAGTAAGCGGGGACGAGACCATGAGGCATATTTTGCTGTGCACCTAATACTTTAAGAGCCATGCATAGACTGTCTTACCTGCTCTGCATTTGAGAAGTTCCTCACTGTATCTCTTCTAAACATTTTCAGATGTTTAGCAGATCAAGTATCTGTGAAAGTGCTGTAAGTAATCTAAATTAGAATTCATTATTCGACCGTTCCTGCCCTAAGTCAAAATGATGCTGCATCTGGGAATAAATTCACTATATGCTGACATCTTAATCAAATACTTTCACGTGCAACAACTTAAAGACGTCACTCAACTCAATGAATCAGGTTTTTCTAATTATGTGAGCTTAAATGAAAATTTGTGGTAGGTGCGATCACATCTCAGACACATACTGGAGAGAAAACAATGCAAATAATCAGGACGCTGATGAAAAATGCAAATGTGATTTGGTTAGCCTTGGAGAAATTAATTTCTAACCTAGAGGGCCAAAGGGAAGAAAACCCTGCTGAATTTCATCTTTGTCTTTAATCTGACTGGCCATGGACAGACACCTCGAAATAATTTAGACTAAACAATGACACAATGCCAACAGGGAAAGTCATCCTTTCTTGTGCAATGATACATTGCTGAAATAGCTTCCTGTTGCCACCCCAGGTGATATTATATCATGTTCCCTCTTGCAGGATGGAGAGATGTGGTCCTCTGTGAACTGCACCATCTGTGCTTGTGTCAAAGGCAAGACAGAGTGTCGCAAGAAACAGTGCGTTCCAGTCAGCAGCTGTCCTCATGTGAGTTTTTGAAAAGAACAGAGCTTTCTTCTCTTTTTTTTCTCCACTCTTATCTTTTTCAGAGTTTCTTGAAAGTGTGTGCATGGCAGTGGGGCAGGCAGATTGGAAAGGAAGGATCCTCTGGCATATTAATTTAGGCTGGCGTTCCCCAAGTGTGCTACTGCTACCCTGAATATGGGCTTCCCACCTCTGCCTTTGCTCTGAAGACTCTGTGCTCCTTTTCTCCTCTTCCCTTTAACTTTCTCTGTCCCCAGTACCTGCACTGGAACATCTCTTTCGCATATATTTAATAGCTTTATAGAGTGCTCAGATGACTGTTAATATAACAATGTGCATATTGTTAAGGCAAGCCACAGGAGGTTGTTGCACCTACATCTCTCAGTGCATTGTGAAGCTTATTACTTGCTTGAAAATGTAAATTCGATAAGCCAAAGCAAACGATTTCAGCCAAGCCATGCCATTTTCTCTAAGGTTGCAGCCTGAGTATTTTTTATCTGGAAGTCTGAAGCGAACCCAAAGAGTGGTGTAATTGTAACTTTACTTAATTGCTCCAAAAATTAATATTACTTGAAACCTCGACCTAAAGTCAGCCTTTGTTTCTTGGATTTCTGTCGCTGACGAATTATTTTGTTTTAATGACTCGAGCTTTCAGAAGAGGGAGCTCTAAATAGCACCTCATGTAGGGGCAGATCTTTGAACAGAACTGCAGTAAAGAGGGCCAAGTCGTTAGCATTACACCTTCTCAGTGTTTCCTTCTCCGTCCTGGAAGCCAGTGGGGAAAATATGAGTCACAGACACCTAGGTATAAGATTTTAAATGACAAACTCTAGTTTGTAAAATTTTATATGTGTGAACTTTTGACAGCCAAAAGTGGTGGTAGAATAGAGAGCCTGTACCTTGGTGCTCTCAGTTCTGGGGCTGCAAGAGCTATGCTCGCATCCTCAGAAGAGGGGACATCCTTTTCCTGTTCCTCCGGCACTCACCGCAGAGCAGAAGGCAGTTCTCCTGTTAATGGGCCTCACGTGAGATGTTGCATGCATCGTAGGAGGTGTGAACAAATGGAGCTGCTCTTCTGGCAACCTGATGTGGCTCATGGCGATCAGGTTTGCTCCCTTTAGGCCATTCACAGCGCAAGCAGGAGGCGAGAGCTTGGACCCTTCAGGTCTCTTCAAAGTCTTTGTTGGCCAAGAGCCTGGCACACGCTGCATCTCGTTTATATTTTCCCTGTGCTGATGCATTTCAAACATTTAAGATGCTCCTGAGATCAAATAACCAATATGGCTTAATACAGATCTCAAGTGAAATACACTGCTATTCCGAGTGGGTACCAAGTAATTTTAAAGCAAATCATGTATGCTAATGGATTTAAATCTACTTTTCATCTGTGCTCCACTCTCTTGATGAAATATTCTGACATAAATCTATAAACATTAATTAAACACACCACATTATTCAACATAAAGATATATTAGTGATTCCGGTACTGGAAGTCTGGATATCATGCGCAGACTTATGCTGCTGTCTCTGCAACCTGTAGGGGTGTAAACTCCATTTCTTCTCTCTCTTCACAGTATTTCTGGCAGTAAGCTGTCTCTACTGACTATTGAAGACTGCAGTGGAATAAGATGCTGTTTAGTGTCCCATAGGGTGTCAGGCCACATAAAGCTATCTCATTAAAACTGTGTTATGGTACACACAGCTGAGTGTGAAAGGATTGAAGATTCACAAGGAACTTACAATATTATTCCTTGACTTAAATGCTTTACCACGCAGTCTTAATACTCTTTGCATGAAATTATGGGTTTTTTTTTTGTGATGGAATATCATTTAATTTATCAATATAGATTTTGGCCAATTATTTCTTGAAAGGATAGGTTTCAAGGTGGTAATTCTGCAGAAATTTCCAATACCGTCCAACCATTTGTATTATTCAATGTGTTGGTGGCAGGCTGACGTATTTCCAAAGACTGTTTTTGCCATTTCTTTCATTTTCTTCATAGGACTAGGCACGTTTTTCTGTTTCTTTTCTTGTTTTCATTTTGGAGCATGCAATCCTGTATCAGTAATTACAGGAAGTATCTTTCGTGGCTGCTTTTCATCTGCAGCGGAGGCAATACATCTTGCAAATCCAATCCCTCCCGTCATATTTATAGTAACATTGGTCCTCTTCGGGCTTCTAGTGAGCCTCATGGCTTGTGGTTTCTGTTTCTTACTTTCTGACCGCTAACTCTATTGCACAGATATTCCCACTCTCGGTTACCTGGAGTGCCAGCCTGCAAGGTGCAGTACACGCTGGCCCCCATCCAGCAAAGCCATTAAGCACGTGTCCAGGCCTGCTGAAGGCAGTAGGCCCTCCATGTGTGCTTAAACTTAAACACATGCTTAAATACTTTATAGAAAGGGAATAATCTCAACTCTTGGGAAGACTGAGTTTCAGAGATCCTTTAGACCTTGTCTTACCTCAATTTGCTATTTGTTTGCCCTAGCCCTGCTCCAGCCTCGTTCTTGCCTTGTGCCATCTCCTTTCCAATCACCCATCCTTATCGTTTTCCACCTCACCTCCTCTCCTTACGCCTCTGCTCTCCCCACTAACAATGTAAGCCTGTGGTAAGGGTCAGTGGCCATGCACGTGTCTCTTTTTGTACTGCTAGAGGAGAGCCTGGTGAATTTTCCAGCATACAGCCTTTTCTGAGCTCCAAGGCTGTGCAAAAGTTTAATAGAGTTAAATGCACAGCATGTGAAGACATTTGCAGAGTTTGATTCTGCGGGTAAATTTTGAACCCGTGAACTTCAAGTGAGTTGAAAATTTATTCAGAACACGTTCTCCCATCTCTAGCACAGACTGCATTTAATGTTATACACATCTGTTATTATTACAAACAAAAAGTTGCTGTTTTTACTCCAGTGCCAAATGAGGCACAAAAAAACAACAGCTGTTGCTATTGCACAACCAAACAACCCTCTTCCCCCCCGCAATTAGTCGTGCCTTAAAAAAATAGAAAATAAAAACCTCAGGCATAAAATTGAAAACCTCATAAAAAACGAAGAAAAATCTCAGAAAATAAATAGACTCAAATGTGGTCTGCTTATAAATATTCATAGGGAAAAATGGGATCACATCACTTAGCCCACTCCTAAGGGAACCCTCAATGCTAACGAACTCTTGCAGCACATGTTAGCAATAATGGGTTTCCTTATTCTACAAGACAAAAACAGGATCTCGGGCCAACATGGTGGCTCAAGTAACCAGCCTCAGCAGGCTGCCTTGGAGATTCCAATTTCACTTGACTTTCTGCCACTTCCAGCTCGGCTGATGATTTCAGCTCTTTTATTGCCACAGAGAGGTAAGGCTGTGCCGTGTGGTGTGTGGCAGTCAGCTGCACGTTCCGTGCCTGCAAACAAGTGTGGCCAAGCTCCCTACTTCTGTGCAGTTCTGACGGTTCCTCCTTTAACGGGCTTTGTCCTGGCAGGTGCTTGGTAGGTCTCCCTGGTGCAGCTTCAGCTATTCTCTTTGCTCTGGGGCCCGGTGGTCACACAAATATCTAACCGTTGCCCACGCTGTCAATGAAACTCTGATCCAGCCCTTTCCCAAGTCCAGATGTGCCTCAAGTCTGTTCACATGCTGTTGCACGTTCAAAGACAAGCTTACCCTGAACTTTCATGCCCTGCGGATGGTAAGCCCCAGCACACTCATCACCGAGCTCTCCTTTGTGCCGTTTGGGTGCATCAAGGATGAGCAGAACAGAGCATGCTGGACTCCAGTCTGCCAGCAGATCCTTGGGCTTCATTTCTTGCATTGTCCAAGCTGGGCAGTGCTGTGGGCAGAAAGCAAGGCAGGCAGCTGTAGGGTTTGCTGCCCGTGCCCACTTCCCCACTCTCTGCATAGAGCTGCCACCTATGTCTTGTCTGTTTTCACGAGCTTTTCTGCGCTGTTGAGTGGACAGAACAGCACAGCTCCATTTTCTCGCTCTTGCTGGCCACTCCTTGCTCACCTGCTTGGTGGGGAGCTGGAGCAGTGGTCCCACAAAGGGGCTTTTCTCTGTTGTTCAACTGTGGTTGGAGCAAAGGGTCAGTGCTGGGGAGCAGCACAGCTCCATGTGCCTCTTCCTTCCCTGTATGGGAACGTGGGTGAGCTCCAATATAAGTTCTGCTATAACCCAAGCCAGTTTTTGCTTGGAAAAACACATCGTTCAGGCTGAAATTTTCCAGGCTTATTCTCTAGCTTGATGGTTAGCTTTAGGGAATTTAAGTAAAATCAGATAGTACATCTTTTAATTCGGTGAAGACTGAAAAGGAGTATGAATGTAAGTACACAGAGGCATGCCTCCTGCTTCTAGCCAGCCTTGTATAAGACACAACCATAAAAAAAATTAACCTGGGCAGAATGACAAATAAAGACTCAAACATTTTGTCCATATTACTATGATTAGACCAAATCGTTTTCTTTTAGATGTTGTGCATCCTTGGATGCATGCCCATCTGCTTCACTGGGGAGGTTGGTCCATGATTGCTAATATGATTTCGTTGGCCATGCCACAAGATCTAGCCATGAAAGAAATCTGGCCAAACTAGATCTCTACCCAGGCCTCCTTTTTCCTTTGTTTTTGTAGGAAAAATGAATTATTTGAGGGGAGTGTGGAAGTGGGTGTGGAGCAGATTGCCTCTGTGTGGCAAGTAAAAGAAATGGATGTATTTTGGGAGGTGGGGGAAAAGGTGGTGATCTTGTTAACCCAATGACAAGTCTGCTGTAGATATCTGTAAATACATGAGGCCAAAATTCTCTCACACTCTCTCTAAAGAGAAAAGTGGTAACAGAGAACCCTTTTAGTATTTCATTTCTTATAAGACTGCCAGGAAGCTCTTTGAATAGTTCTGTCTGTTTTTAGCACCTGATATTTGAAGCTGTAACCAGGGCATTGAGTTCAAACACAACTTGAACTATTTTCAAAGGCTTATCCAGCCTTACAACGTAACACAGTCATTGCTCCAAAACCTCTTTCATTAAATCAGCCTGTCTTTCTCCCAATTAGGGTAAAATCCTGAACAGAAAAGGATGCTGTCCTATTTGCACTGAAAGTAAGTTTTTCTTCACATTCTTTAAATTCTTTTTTATTCTTTCCGAGAAAATAAATATAGTAGAAGTATGTTTGCTTTTCTGCCTTCTTTGTAGAGGTGGCTAAAGGGCAGGTGATTATTACTGGCCACAGGTTTTGCCTCCTATAAATCTGTAAATTTAAAATAAAGTGCCTGAGTATTTTATTTTTATTTCATTTTTTCCAAGTGACACTATTTTTGTCAAATCTGAGGTGCTGCTTTTTGAGACTATAGTGGGCCCGTGAAGTTTGTAGGTAATAAAATAAGCAAATGAATAGAGTTGTAACTTTTAAGACTGGATACCATTTATACCTGTAAATAACAGCCCAGCTATGTGTATATATAATCCAACACCTTTGCAGATGATTTGTGAGGGTTAAGAAAAGGTGTGCAAAAATCTGAGACACAGTCTGGGGCAGCAGTGGAAAATACAATAGAAAGCTATCCTTCTGTCTGTATGATGTTTAGCTCAACCATCACCTTTTTATCCTTTTACTCTTCACTTCAGGAATGATTATCTTATGATATCACTTGTGTTCTCTCCTAGTCTGCAAAGCACTTACACAAATACTTATCTTTAAGCTTGTCCTATTTAAGTCAACGGGGAGACCTGTCTTCACTGAAGTTAACAGGATACAATTACATATTTCCTTCAGGACATATTTAAGTATTTTACCAAATAGGGACAGACTGCTAAAATGGGGTTTTATGATTTATGGGAAGGCTTCTGAAGGAAGGAACAGGTTTTTAAGGAGAGTGTTTCCTATTCTTTTGTCTAAAATCAAGTTTGCTTCTGGGTGCTCCTGGATTGCACAAATTCCATATGCTACATGCCTGGTTTTGCACTGTGCAGCTCAATTATTTTGAAACGTGTAACTTGTGATAAAATAAATCTAATTTGCAAGTCTTCGGTATCAAAATGAAGTTACATACAAGTGGCAACCTCAGAAACACTTGAAATAATACTGAGCAGAGGCAGAAATGAAAGAGGATTCAACTGACCAGTGGTCGATTTCATGTCAAGGTTGTTTTCAAGGGGGAAGAAATTTGCATGGACCTCTGCTCGAACTTGACATGTCATTAGTGTCGAGAATGTATCAATCTTTATCTTGCCTCTGTTCTTATGTTTCAGTCTCATTTAACCTTTCTCATGTGTTCTTTTGTAACATGAGAGGGGGAGGACAATAATGGGGCCAGCCATTCCCTCAAAGCACAGGAGACCCTCTACTCTAAGGGGTTAAAAAGAAGACAGTACAGTGACTCCTTCAGAAATGCTGCCAAAGAATGATGACTTGTGATGGTTGTTTCTTTGGAGAAGGAGGCAAAAATTAGATTTCTTCAAAGTAAAAATAACTCATCTAGTAACCAGGTTACCGAAAAAGTCAGAACTTCTTGATGATATAAGAAGGGAACGGTCATGACTATAAGACGTGAAATTAAGGGCAGACCATTGCTTGTCCTCCTGCCATGCAGAACTGTAAAGAGCCTGGCTCCATATTCCTAGTAACATCCTCCTAGATACTGGCAGACTGCTCTTGGGTCTCCCCGAAGACTTTGGGATAAACAACCTTATTCCCTTCGCCTCTTCTTATGGGTCCTGTCTGCATTGCACTGGCTGTACGTGAGGCTGGGAGGCTCCTTGCACTGTCCTGCATAGAGGGGTCCTTTTTCTTGGAGAGGTGTCCTGCTATGGACCCACTGAGTATTTGGAGGAGAGCTGATTCTAAGCTTTTATGATCAAAAGGCCATTCCCAGCTTCTGTCAGGTAATGTAATCTAAGAGCTTAAATACCCACCGTCATGCAGCAGCGGTGGCTGCTACTACCTGTTTTAACATTAGTGTTTTAACCATTGCCATTTGCAAGGAACTAATTCCATTTCAGTGATGATCGCTATCTCGGATAGTAATTCGAAACATCGCTAATTCAGCCGGTTTGTGATGAGATAAGATGTACATGCACAGCCCTTTCCCTCACCTACCCACTCACGTTGATCCTCTCTCCACATATTAACACACCAGACATTTCTGGCTGTCCAGCAGATATTAATTTTCCAAAGTAAAAACAACACAGGAGGTACAAGAACATACTGTACACAGGAGAGCTTTGAGTACGATTTAAATGCAGCCAATTTCTGTGAAGCGGGTCAAAAACAGTCACGTTGTTAAAGGATACACTTTAAACTGAAAAAAAAAACCCCAACAATAATCAAAGGATTATTTTCAAAGCAGTTTGTTGCTGAGAGAAAAAGTATTTCGTCTCCTTAAGGGTTGGAGAGTCTCTTTTGTCTACTGTTGCCGAAGTTAACTATGGTTAGTTTTGGCATGTTGCTGTTTAAGCTCTATGGCTGGCGTACAGTTATCACTAATTAAACACAGTGGTCATACTGGTGGAAAATTCAACAGTTTAGTTTATGCTGCTGTAAAAATGTAATGAAATGTACTCTTTTGGGCTTGATTTAGAAAAATCACCACTGACGTCAATTCCATAAATTAGTAATCCTATGTTAGACCAAGTTCATTTTCATATTAAAAAAAGAAAACACTAAACCTGAGTTCAAATAACATTAACAGACTGTTCTCGACTCCAGACAAAGATGGGAATTTGCAGTGGAGGTTAAATCTTTGTTCTTGACAGAGAATTGATAGGCTTTGCTGAAATTACAGCGTGCAGTAAGAAAACTTGCTACTGCAACCATGTAGATATATCCTAAACATGATCAGTAATCCTAACACAGTCTTACCCAAGCCATTGGGAGGCTTTATGGATGAAGTTTTTTTCCAAGTGGACTGCAGTCACCTAGGTCTAGCAGCACACATGATTCATTTTGCAGTAAAGGCCTCTTTTGGGGCAGAAAATTTCTTTCATCACAAATCATTCTGCAGCTTTTTAAATTGACAAAATGACCAACGGAGCTAAACCAAACTCAAGGGCATTTAGATCCAGCCTTAGGAGTACAAGGCTGGTACTTTCACCTGGTCCTGCATGCTTTTTATGTGTTTTTATAGAAATACTGAAAAAAAATGCTGACTCTTCAAAGAAAAAAAAAAAAAAAAGAAGAAAAAACGTAGGGTTATGCATTATAGGTACCTGTGAGAGCCCCTGCCGGTCCTGTTTCTTGTGTTATTTCCTTGCCATGGAGAAATACAGCAACAAAAAGACTGCAATTGTTTATTCATACTGCAATGCTGTTCATGATTTACCTCCTCAGCCATTTCAGCTGTGATGGTCTACTGTATAAATATGTATTTGGACAAATTGGAATAGCTATTTTATTTATGAAATAGACCATAAAGACTCCTGTGGCGTTTTTGACACCACACCTTGTAATGTGTATTATATCAAGCTACACTGTGCAGCAGTTATGAGGAATGTACTCTATGGCTGTGCATTTTTTACAGAAAAGCTAATGAAATTCTATTATGCATGTTCTGTAGCTAGTTTTCCAAAGTTAATAATGTGTTTTGTCTGATTTAGGGCTTAATTCAGCGTGTGGGCTAATTGCATTCAAAGTTTCGTTTTATTTTTAAAAAGCTGAGATCTTGTTGAATTATAGATGTGCAACCAGAACACCCTTAACTGGTAAACTTGTATTTTTTCCTCCCTCTCCTTAGTGGCGTCCAAACCAATTTTAGTTACAATTTAAAGTATATTTTTCTTGGCCACTCTTAACTAGCTACAAGCCCAAAAGAGTGTGACCAGACATCTGGACATCTTGGACTTCAATTGACTGCTCTGATCTCCTGAAAAAATAAAACAAGCTATTCCATGAGCACCAGAGCTAACAGAGCCTGGTTTCCTATGGATTTGTGTCCCATTTCCTTTATATCCCAACAAATAATAAACCCAGCTAGAGACAATATATCCTGTGGCTGCTCTGGAGTGACAAGTGTGCTGATCGCCCAGCCAATATGCTCATGCTCTCCGGCTGGTCAGGATGTGTGTGCTGACTGTCTGTCTGGCCTCCACCAAGCAGTGTATATATCTTGCCTTTCTAGAAGGGCTAAATATTGTCTAGAGGGGTGGGGATATTGGATGGAAGGTAGAAAGATACTTTTTGGCAACCACTTATTTCACTAAGTGGTCCTTACTTTTACTCAGCGTACTGCTTACTAGAAACGAGTTGTGTTTTAGACTTTTATCCCTCTGTATTGGCCAAAACAGGTCATGATTTTTACCATGAGAGTTGTAGAACACTGGAACAGGTTGCCCAGAGAGGCGGTGGATGCTCCATCCCTGGAGACATTCAAGGCCCGGTTGGACGAGGCCCTGAGCAACCTGATCTAGTTGGAGATATCCCTGTTCCTTACAGGGGGGTTGGACTAGATGGCCTTTGAAGGTCCCTTCCAGCCCTAACCATTCTATGATTCTATGATTCCATAAACTTTTTTTTTTTTTTTCCTTATGAGAGTATGTTAAAACTCGGGGAATGCTAAAATGTTCTTTTCCTCACTGCTGCTTTTTCAGCTTCCTTTTTTGTACAGATGAATGTGTTTTCAAAAACGGTGCTCCTTGCCCATAGTTACCTTCCCCGATACCTTTTCTAATGAGAGTCACTATTTCATTTGAATTGGGCTCACGGTTTGTAAAGGCAAGGAAAGCGTGCCAAGAGTTCTACAGTATCCACTTTAGCACCCAAATACTATTATTATTAGTTTGCAAGTAAGCTGTAGAGCCTTAGGTGGGAGCTGAGCAAACTGCATGAATCACTCATGAAGTTTAAGATTGTCAAATGTAAAAGTTTTAGTTGCTTAAAAAACAAATGTGAAAACTGCTGAGCTCCCAGAAGCTTTTATGAAAGCCAGAAGTTTTGAATACTGATTTGGGAGCCTAAATGCAGGATTTCCAAAAGAGGTTTAGAGGTGTTTGCAGCCAGCTCCCAATAATGTTTAATCAGAGTTGAGTTCCTGAGGTGCTTTGAAAATCCTGGACATGGCTGTGGGGCCCTCCTTTGAGAAATCTGTGCTTTTCAGGGACAAAGAGGAAGTGGGTGTATTTGCCTCCATGTACGTGTGTAGATGAGCAAAAGAAGACATCAAAGATCATAAATGCCAAGTTCAAAACAAGCAAGAGGCAGGGGTTCTGCATGCGCTTTGCCCAAGGATGTTGTGGACGCTAAAAACATTTTTAGGTTCTAAGAGAGACTGGACAAATTCACAGAAAACAGGTCTCTCAAAGGTTACTAGACAAAGAGAAACTGTATCTAGCTCAGAAAGTCCCTAAGCTGAAAATAGTTGGAGTGTGGTGGAGTCTTAGGGGGAAGTATCATGTGCAATTGCCATTTTCTAACTCTACCTTAGACAGCTGATAGAGACGAGGAGCATCTGCAATAAGCTGGGAATAATCTACTGTAGGAAAAAAAGTAGGGAAGGATCTTCACCCATGACCCTATGCCTTGTTAGCACAAGCTAGCAAAATTCATATTGCAGCACTGGGGAACGTAGCTTTGGTGGTGCAGCAGCACCGCCCCATCCGTTATGTCCCTGCAGAGGAGCAAGTCACACACGGTCCTAACTAGAGAACTGCTGCTTCCAAGAGATTTCTAAAACAGCCAAGCAGAAAGACTGGTTTATTTCAGAAGGGAAAAAACATGAAAAAAAAAAAAAAAAAGCAACAAACCGTAAAACATGATGTGATTGAAAGTCTCCCAAAAGGAAATAAACAACAACCCAAAACCTAAAAATGGCAGGAAGTCTCTTCATGTCGCCTTTTGCAGTCTTGTTACACCCGATGTTTAAGGTTTATTTCTAGGCCAACCAGTTCTTCTTACTGGCAGTGCCTGAGTTATCACACACACTCTTGCAGGGTGTGGATTTTTTTTTTTTTTAAACCCACCATTTTAGCAAACCTTTCAAGAATGTTTTACACAGTGATATCAGAGAATCAATTAGTCAGGCTGGTTTTAGGTAGGTTTTTTTTCCCTCCCCCATTTCCTTGGTTATTAAAGAAAACAGTGAAATTTGGATCAGACGTTCAGCTATCCGGTCCAAAATACATTCTTTTTTATTTTAACTGCACTGCATCAAGTTGACATATGACGTGACACGATGTAACATAACATAAACCAACATTACTCTGCGTAACGCATTAGAAATTAAAAATAAATATTTCCTTTGGATCCCATTGGTACAATCAATTTTACTTGCACATCTCTAAATTATGTTTGTTCCTCTTGTGTCTTGCCTCTTAGCCACTTGCTTAGGTGAAGAACCAGCCTTCCCCTCCCAATATGTTAGTTAATAACATATATAACATGTCCATGTCCTTGGCCTCTAAGAAAAGCAAGCAAAAAACTGTTCTGTCCTCTGAAATCTTTGCTGATGTTTGGGTTGATTTTTTTTGTTGATGGTTTCCTTGTTTTCACAAAAGTTGTCGTTATGTTTCAAGAAAAATTAAAGCCTGAAAAAATGAAATAGAATCTAAGCAGGTAATAAAATGTATCTTAATATTCATTATGCAGGTCATTACACGAGTGCGTAAGGAAATCAGAAACATGTTAGTATGATTTCGTAATGGTGAAGTCAGATGATCACCACATAAAATCTACAGACTTTTTTTCCTATTGCTAAAAATTATGTTGGTGATTAAAAACGATTTGGTTCCTTCCAATTTATGGAGAATGAATTAATCTTGTCATCGACTTTGGAAAACAGCTATTGATGTCCTCACTGGTATCCATGAGGAAAATGAGACTGGCAGATGTGCCTGGTTTTAAAAGCACTCTCTTATCTAATGTCTTGGGTTTTTAGGCTCTGCTTAACGTCCATTGGGTCTGATTTCCAGAGCTGTTGCTCAAACGTGGTTCGTTTTGACTTCCAATGGAGCTGTTAATACGATGTCCTTGAGAAATGGAAACTTTTTGGTCCCAGACGTAGTAAAGAGGCGGAATAACGATGCCAAGACTGGGTGCTGGCTTAGCTGAAGAAGCGCGCAAGTGGCGAGTTAGGGGTGAAGTACAGATCTCCCAGGTACACACCACACGGTGTGGGAGACTGAGGTTGGGCTTTAGGAAGACCTTACTTGCAGTAAGGACAGCTGAGCACTGCAACAGGTTGCTGGAGTGGAGTTGCTGTTACTACTGCTCTTTAAGAGCAGGTGAGATAAACGTCTGTCAGGAATGACATAGGTGCTGGTGATTCTGTATTACAGCTGTAGAAGGAAAAAGTAATGTCTCCTGGGGTCCCCTTCAGCCCCGTTTTCTGTGTCTCCATGTAGGTATCCTTGGACATTCTTTAACTACAGCTAGAAAAACGCCAGAAACATTATAGCTGCTTTAGCATAGCACCCTGCCTAGGCTGGCAAACCCTGCCAAGAAAGGCGTATTCCATAGGCAGAGCTGCGTTGCACGCCACCGAAGGAATTCCCTGCCTCTCCTCCGTAACATCCATGTCGTCGTCTTTTTTTGTAGGTTTGAATTTGCCTTTTTTTTAGCTGCCTTTTCAGGCGAGCCATTGTTAGTTGGATAATTTTTTTCTTTTTTCAGTGAATAAATTGTATTCCTTGTTACTATCCCCTCCTCTTTTTGGGTTTTGGTGGGTTTTTTTGGTTGTTTGTGGTTTGTTTTTTTTTTTTTTGATTGATGCTGTTTGCAGCTCTCTGATTACTGAGTCAAATTTTGTGACTGCACCAAGCCCTCCCCCTAAAACAGGCATCATCTTTCAAAAGCAGCCTCAGCCCATGGGTATCCAGCTGGCAGGAGCAGTGTGCATTTCTCTGCCTTGAGACTCCTTCTTCCAGGAACAGCAGCAGTGAGATGTGGTTGGGACCTATTGTTATACCAGAAGGCTGCAATGCAAATAAATTTGCTGTTCTCTTTGATTGCGAGGCAGTTCAATCAATTGCTGGGTAACTGCAGGGTAACTCAGCATCGTTGACGTGACTGTGGAAACGTTCTGCCTTTGAGCTGCAGCTTCTCTGACTAGCGTAGGGCTGGAAACATCAATAAGAAATCTCCTGCTGTTTGTAGTGATGCAAATGATTGGTAGAGATACCGTACCCTGAGACAGTTACTGCATCGTGATAGTCGCCTAGCATGATAGCAATAACTGCGACAAGTCAGCTGTGTATAAACAATGTGGATGATAGCTTGTAACACTGAATAAGGATGCTGGTTCTAAGGATAATTTGGGGAAAAAAATATGCCTAGTTTATAAATGTACAATATTTATAAGCGTGTCTGTGTAAAACACGGGCAGAACCAGGTCCTGCTGAGGTAGTCTGATGGCTTTTAATTTCAGGGAATCAGCCCTGCCTGCCTGAGGACATTAAAATTAGCCTCCAACGTATACATGTGATGTTTTGAATTCTGCTTCTATTAGTGGATTGGGCATTGCTCCCACAACACGACTTAAGGATGGGAGCTCATCCCAGGGGAATTTAACTGTTTGAGAGGAACGTCTGTAGTGTCAGGTACTTGTTTGCTCTCCCAGAGCTGGCAGCAGAGAGACAGGCTCCTCCAGAGAGTAATGCCCCACGTATTAAAAGAAATGTATACAACTGGTGAGATGAAAGACTTTCTGGTCACGTCTGTTTCTATCTGTCAGTGAGAAGGAGACTGGATGACTTGCTTAGACTAGACATTTCATGTTTGGAAAGCTGAAGTTAGGTGGGAAGGCTCCCATCACACATCTCCAGAGACATGTGGGCTCTGCAAGCCCAGGGTTCTGCCTGCTCTGATATCATGAACTTGTATTTTCTGGAAATGAAATAATTTGAAAAATGTCACAGGCATTGTAATAACCTAAACTGTTGGGGTGGTATATATTTTTAAGGGACAAACATATAGGTTGGTTGATTCCTAGCTACAGGTTAGCCTTCCTATGCTGCCCCAAGGATCAATTGACCTTTGGTTCCCACTGCTTTGGGAAAGACTTCTACTAAAGCCATGAAGCTTCTGCTTTTTAAAAATGTGTGTTCCTAGTGAGCGTCAGCCAAACCTGCCCTGTTGGGCAGATAGATTAGGTGAGAGCGGCATCCTCTAAGTTCTTATCAGCTGCTTTTTTCATACTTTGATTGATCCTGATATGGCGCTTTTGTTTCTCACTCACCTGCAGAGCCTGGAGTTTGCACTGTATTTGGAGACCCTCACTACAACACTTTTGACGGACGGACATTTAACTTTCAGGGAACATGTCAGTACGTTTTGACGAAAGACTGCTCCTCCTCTGCCTCGCCCTTTCAGGTGCTGGTAAAAAACGATGCCCGTCGGACCCGTTCTTTCTCCTGGACAAAGTCAGTGGACCTTGTGTTGGGCAGAAGCACTATCAGCCTCCAGCAGCACCTCACAGTGAAGTGGAACGGGACCCGCATCTCACTGCCTTGCGAGACATCGCAATTTCGGATCGATTTGGATGGTTATTTGCTAAAAGTGACAACCAAAGCAGGTAGGGCAAGTGTGTGTGTGTGTCTTCTCCCTGAAGAACTTCCCAAGCGCAACATGAACAGCAGTTAGTAAAAAAGCATGATAGCGGTAATGAACGTAGTTATAACTCTTTGGACATCTGAGGAACCCAAAGTGCTTTCAAAATCCCTGCAGCCCACAAGCAGACAGAGAGCCCTGCTATGAGTGTGAAGGCTTTGCAGAACATTTGCTAAGCTATGTTTCATTCTGCAGCTGACAATTAACTGCCCACGTAGATGAATGCGCCATGATTTTCCTTGCCAGTGACTTGAAAGTGCCTTATGCAGGGTCATCTTTTGATACTTATAGATAAGAACAGAGAGGAGATCAGTTCTTAAACACAGCATTCTTGTTTTTTTTTTCCCAGTTGCAGCAACATGCCGTACAATCTAAGTGAGCAATTATATAAAATCTTAGTTACTAATGGCTGGAATGAGTTTAAGTTGTCAAATTATGGAAACATTTCACTGGGGCTTCCCAGAAAAAAGGAAGTCCTGGTTTGAAAATCAAGGCCTAATTTGCTGTTCAGTGCCATCTTGCTGGGCTTGCTTTGTGCTCGAGTAAGAGTTTGTCTGCAGAGAATAGAGTGTCCACAGCACCAGATGCAAAAGGAAATCAGAAACTTCAGAGAATCTGGTAGCGTATCTGTAGAAACAGGGAAGGGAGGTAGCAAACTCTCAGGTCTTTTGAGTTCTAGAAAATACATTAACCATCAAAATGCTAAATGAGGGGACTTACATGTGTTTTGATAAACTGTTCTGAAGCTCTAGTATCGTTGCATGGGTAGATACTGAGGGGAAGTTTAAAACTTTCTCGTTAGCATGTGTTAGGTACTACTGTAGTCCTGAGAGATTTCACTTACACAGTGGAGTACTGTTTCAGAGAGAATACTCTTTACTGCTAATTCAATTAAACACCATGTGAAAGCAGTGAAATCAATCTTTCTTATGGAGTGATATGGTCACAGGCGTGACGCGTAGCCGTACTCATTATCTAGCATCATTTTTTTCCAAAGGGGACACTAGCACTCGCTGTTGAGCTGAGAATTTAGACACCTGTTCATATAGCCCCTGGAAATGTAAGTCTGTATAATGTGGAGCCCAGCTCTGGGCTCTTTCCTCCAAGTGGCAGTGCAGATTTTTGTGGCTGTCTGTAAAACGCACACAAGTTGACCATTATTCACAACTTCTAATTAAAAGCATCTTGAGGGTTTCTCTTTGCAGCCAGCTGAACGCTGTGAATTCTGGTGATGTGGATTTCATTAGCCAACCACAGGCCAAGAAAAGGTTTTCCATCGAAGATGAATGACAGCTAATGCTGCTGCTATTCCGTTTGTCTGTGGTGCAAGCCTAGTAAATGACTGCACACATCCTTGTCCATGTGTTGGCAGAGGGAATGCAAACATGGCATATGACAACCTACCAAACAGTGTGTAATCACTGCAAATTATAGCCTAAATAATTCCTCCCCTTAACAGAGCAGGATCAGGTTTCTCTTGCTGAATGCAGCACGATGGGCCAAGTCCTCTTTCCTCAGCACATAAGTGCTGGAAAGCAGCAGAACAGCATGGCTCCAGTTTGCTGGGAGAGGACAAGCAGCAGAGAGGCTGTAGAGAGGAGGAATGTGCTGAGTTGAACTGGTTTAAAGACAAACCTTTTGTTACAGAGGAAATCCTGAGCACTGGGGGAAAAAAAATGGAGAATTTTCTCTGTTTCAGACCAAAACATGGATTTTTTTTTAAAATACGTACTTTCCCAGTGTAGAGTGAAAGAAGAGGAAGAGGGAAGAAGTAATGAAAACTAAGCAAGCCCACTGCACTAGAAGCAAATCTCAAAGTAAGATTGGGCTGGGAAATGCAAAGTCTGGTCCTTACAGCTCAGCCAGCATTCCCACGGCTTTTGGTTTTCCTTTTGCAGAGCTGGGAGCTGAGCTCTGGATAAAACAGGGGAGCCCAAAGCTTTAGGAAGCCTTGTGGTCCCTGGCTCCAGGGCAGTGTGCATGGCAGGGCTGTCCTGGAGCTGCATACCCCGAGAGTCCAGGCTTCCAGGCAGCCCACCGGGCGAGCTGGCAGGAAACCAGCTTGGAGCCTTGCCTGTGCCGTGCTGGAAGTTCATTGAATCCGATATGTCTCCCTGAAGCATTGAAGTTCTGATGAATTGGCGTTTTCCAGCGAAAACCTGTTTTGTTGCTAAATTCCTCTCCGGCTGTAGCCCTGGATGCTATGCAGCAGCAATTCTGACACCCTGCGCTTGCAGGTACTTCGTCATGGGTGTGGTTGGGGTGGTGTTGAGTCCTTGTCTGAAATGTGTGTGTTAAAAAGACAAGAGAGCAGAGGGTCACAGGGCTGGTGTTACTCATCCATCCCTCTAGTACAGGAGCGTTTTGTTGTTTCTGTGCAGATCTTTTGCACAAAGCCGCTTTGCTGAGGTTTTCTGTACCACTTTGGCACTAAATCTTTAGGGAAGAGTGGTCTGCCAGGTCTTGGGGATGCCTTTACCATGAAAAATCGTGCAGAACAATTGATGGGAGTTCCCAGCATGGGGAACTCAGTGTGTGATGTGCATAAATCCAGAAGGACTTTTTTTTTTTTAAATGTGGCAGAGCACATAGTGCGCCAAGTTAAGAAATCAAGTAACAAGTTGGTTAAGCAACCTTCAAAGAAAGGGGAAAATTGGAAAACTCTAAAAAGTAACTCAGAGAATATTCCTTTTCTGCACAGCCCCGGATGGGACAGATGCTGCATCCTTTGGCTTCACATCTCTTGGATTCTGATCTTTGTCCAAGTGAATGGGAAACTCATCCATTGGGGGGGTGGGGGAGGAAAGGGGGGTACAGGCACCAAGAAACTCTTCCAAACAATTTCTGTCTGCCAAGGAGACCATTTCAAACATCACTCCCGTAGCATAATCCCGCCTGTCACAGCTCTTTTTAGTTTACAGAAACCAACTGAATTTTCTGCTTGTGAACAAACAAAAAGGCACACACTGCACAGTGCGATCAGCCTCTGACAAAATGATATTATTGTGTAGCAGTAAATACCCTTCCTTGTTAACCCAGAAAGGAATAGGCTCTGTTATGGACAGAAACCTTTAGGATGTTCATCAAAGCTATAAATTACCCTTCCATCTTAGCTATTACAGCAGAATATAGTGTAATTAAACAATACCCAGCTAGAGGAACCTGCCTTTTGTGGTAGTTAAACTGCAAGTCTCTTGAATCAAATCCAATAATGAAAGCAGGACTCTCTAGATTCAAAAATATGCATTTTTCTATGCTGAGATGAAAAGTCATAATGTAATGTTATTCTTGTCTGCATACCTTGAGTTCACAGAGCAACATGTAACAAGTAGATTAATTTAACTCCCACCAAGGACACACAAATATTCAGGATAATTTTAGAGTTAACTTTCGTAACGAACGTGAGTGGTTTCACTGGAAGTCAGTCAGTCTTGGCTTGAGAAAAAAGAAAATTAAGATAGAATCATTAGCCAGTCTTTTGTGACTCTGCTTAAAGTCAGCAGCTTCTGAGGGAGCTCGTTTGGGGAAAAAGTTGAACATGGCCTTAAAAACTGGCGTTATTTTCTGAAGAGAACTGTCTGAGAATTTGGATTTTGATGCTTCGAGCTTTGAGAAAGTTTATATGATTCTCAAGTCTGAACAAATCTTAGTTTGTAAGTTAATGGCACGGCTTTTCTAAATGCCAGCACAGCAGTATTAATCTGGTGTCTGCAAATCAAGCTGTGTTTTGTTTTGTTCAGCGTTGTCAGAAGCAAAGACAGCTGGAATTTGAATTTGTCCAGCAACGATAATGTATGAAGCAGCTTAAAAGGCAGCTCTCCCCCTTGCCACTGTGCTGGCCTTGTTAACGACTGTAGCCTTGCACAATTTCTCAGCTGGCTGGGTGTAAAGCGCCTTGGGAGGAGGACACAGACTCCCTATCCGTGCTGGGGTTTGAATTTAGTTTTTTTAGTAGATAATTTGAAACTACTTCCAGGCATGGCCAGCTCAGGACGTATTTGTGCTATCATTGCTAACCTATAGTGATAAGCGAACGTGATGCAATAAATCGTAGCGACCAGTGATGCAGAATTATCTGCTGGGTAAATCATTCCCCAAATTCTTGGTGACACAGTGTAGACCACACAAGTGCCAGGACAGTATGTACCGATGGCAAAGCCCCCCTTCTATAGCCGGAATTGCCCTTTGAGCCTTACCCTGTTTCTCTGCGGCTCGGCTAGGAATTGTCACAGGAGACAATGGGATGTGTTGCTAAAGGAAGGGTTCCAGCTTTGAACTGAGTCACTGGTATGTTAATTACTTACATGAGGACAGGGCAAGACTTGGATCACAGAGTGACAAGCACTGATTTACAAGAGGAAAGGGTGGTGCTAAGCCAGCCCACACAGCAAATGTAGAAAGCTGGAGCGAAGCCCTGGTCCTGCACCACGGAGCGATGCTGTTTGGTATTCTTGGCCAGGCAGGGAGAAGAGGGTAAAATCTGGATTATCCTTTTTAAAAGCAGGTTCCTGTGTTTATCCTTAACTAGCTGCTGCTCACAGGTACTTTGTAGGAATAAACTAACATCAGTGATTTGTGATCTTCAGATGCAGGGTTACTGGAGAGATGTGAAGTAGCATTCATCAGACATTGGAAATAATTAAAAGAAAGACCATTTTTGGGTAGAAGTTAAGCAGAAGTGATTCTTGGTGTTGTTTTTATCCCATATGATATCAAAATTACTTTCTGTTTTGAGATACATATTTACTCTTAGAATCATAGAATCATAGAATGGTTAGGGTTGGAAGGGACCTTAAAGATCATCTAGTTCCAACCCCCCTGCCATGGGCAGGGAAACCCTCCGCTACACCAGGTTGCCCAAAGCCTCATCCAACCTGGCCTTGAACACTGCCAGGGACGGGGCAGCCACAACTTCTCTGGGCAACCTGTTCCAGTACCTCACCACCCTCAATGTAAAGAATTTCTTTCTTATATCTAACCTAAATCTGCCCTCTTTCAGTTTAAATCCATTGCCCCTTGTCCTATCACTACACACCCTTGTAAAAAGTCCCTCTCCAGCTTTCCTGTAGGCCCCCTTTAGGTACTGGAAAGCTGCTATAAGATCACCCCGGAGCCTCCTCTTCTCCAGGCTGAACAAAGGATGGAATTCTTCAAAGGATGGAATCAACTTAATTTACAATCACCCAGGTGAAAACTAGAAGTTTAGTCTCCACCTGATCTCTGGGCCCTCTAGAGTATCACTGGAAATAGAAAGGCATTCAGATGGAAGTTTTATTCCCTCTGCATTAGACACCCCTGTTGCGACCCAGAGCTGCTGGTTTCTACCCATCAAAGAGAGGGCCCAGACAGCTGACTTAAGCTACACACACCTAGCTTTTAGGTGGATGCAGATAGATAAAATGGATTTCACCCACAGAAGGCAATTTTGATTGTGAATTGCTAAAAGTGCAAAACCTTACCATAAACCAGATTGTAGCAGAGCGCTTCCATCCCAGCCACGAGATGCGGGTTAGATGTTTGCCATCGTTGCTTGCTGTTGCTCACTTATGAAGGCAACTTCTAAGGTTGGTTATTAACACCTTTTGAATGAACGGTTGGAATCCAGTTCAGAATGCCTTCTTACAACAGTTTTTCCCATCTGAGATATCTTTGTGGTCACCTTTTTAACTCTCTTTCCCCACACAAGGTATTTGTATTGGAACAGTTATACTCACCCAAATGAGGGAGCAGCGTCAGTTTTGCAGGCAAGAAAAGGTTATTTTCCATAGGTGGTCACTGGTGGAGTCTCATGGGGCATGGACACCTTGGTATGCCCATGACCTGCGCAATGGGTGACAACGGCTGAGATTCTGGGCCCTCTGCAAAATCAGCTCGAAATTCGCCCCAGCAAATTCGATTTGCAGAATTTTACAAGAGCCCTCTTTCGACGTTGAGAGTAGTTGTGCCTTGGCTCCTGATTTTTTTAGGATAACCCTATTCCTTAGCAAAGAGGAACAAAAATAAACAGTTCAGGCATGAGTGTACCGTAATTGACTGTGGTTTAAGAAATGCTACGCTTGCCAGAGGCACTTACTGGGAGGTATATAGAAATCAGACGACGTTATCAGAAGGAAGCCAATATCTTTGTTTAGGTTCCCATGAACACTGTTTCACAAACATAAGGCACAGTCTGTTATCCTCAATTTCTTCTTCTTCTCTTTTTTCTCTGTGTGTGTGTGTTTGTCTCACCTCTTTATTAGGCCTGGAAATCTCATGGGATGGAGACAGTTTTGTGGAAGTCATGGCGGCCCCGCACCTGAAAGGCAAACTCTGTGGCCTGTGTGGCAATTACAACGGGCACAAGCGAGATGACCTGATCGGGGGGGACGGGAATTTTAAGTTTGACGTGGATGACTTTGCCGAATCCTGGCGCGTGGAGTCCAACGAGTTCTGCAGCCGCCCGCAGAGAAAACCCGTGCCCGAGCTCTGTCACGGGACGGTCAGGGTGAAGCTCCGAGCTCACCGGGAGTGCCAGAAACTCAAAGCGTGGGAGTTTCAGAGCTGTCATTCAACGGTGGATTATACCACGTTTTACCGGTAAGTGTGGCTGGCTGCAGAGTGAGATAGTAAGTTGCAGTGAAAAAAGAGAAAAACCACACAGTTGGCCCAATTTCAGCAGGGTTTGGGCACGTGCTTTGAGCTGCTTTTGCTAAGAATTAATACACAGGGTTAGAGTTACATTATGATGAGCTTTTCTGAGTCAGGAATCAGAAGAAGATGGTCCTGAGCTAATAAAGACCTGAGCAGCCAACAGTGAGAAAGGCTTGTGATCACCTAAAGTACTTTTGGAGACTGAGGAGAGAGAGGGGAAGAGACTTCAAAACGTTTTGGTAAGTTCTTTCTGATTTCGAAGTCAGCTGTAAGGTTGAAGCTGACTTTAATCGCTATTGCTTGTGCTCCAGAGAAGTGTGCCTTCCCAGAAGCATTTTGGAAATGACTTTGTTAAAGCAGGGATATTAAACATCACTAGTGCCTCTTAGATGGTGGAGTTTGTGGGTTGAGAGTTTGAAAGGAGAGAGTTAACAAAAAGTTCAGTGCATGCCCATCCTGCCCCGGGAGCAAAGGAAGACAGATGAGGATCTAGAAGCCTTGTCTGAGGGAATTATTTAAGATTTTTTATCTTTAAAATGCTGCCAGTCTAAACCACAGAGACATCATTTCTGTTCTTTAATTGGCATGAGTTTATTTGCCCCTCACTCAGTAAATAAAATTGGCTTTTCTTTTGATTGCCTGACATAAAAGATAAAAGCAAGCCGAGTCGCCGTGGTATGGTGGAGAATGGAGCTGCCTGATCTCTGCACTCCCAGCTTTCCTCACTTGTTCACATCTGCTGAACTATTGGGCTTATTAGGAAAAGCTTTCTAAAATTGCTCCAATTCCCTTATGAATTGCCTTTCCTCTTCTTTTATAATGAGGCAGAAAGACTTTTATCTACCCCAGCAGAACACGTCTGGGACTGGGAAATGCTAGAAGAAGACACACAGCTTGGCTTGTAGTCTACATGCTTCTGCATCTAGTTTGCTATAGCATATCCCTGTGCTAGGAGCCTGGCAAAGAGGGAAGCTTATGTTGTGTGCAGGTTATATTATACTTTGTCTTTTCCAATGGCTGGAGGCACAGCAGAGAGCACTAGAGATGCTAACACACACACAGAGGGTCTGTTGAATGCATTTCAGCAACATTCCCATCTCACTTCCATCGTCCTTTAAAGGTAAGTGATGACAATGCAAATGGAAAACAGGCACAGAGAGATTTGTTTCATTTTGCAGTGGATTTTTTGTCCCTTTTTTAAAGTAGCTCATGATTAATTTAGTGCAATACACTTCCTGACACCACAGCGGAAAATGATTTATATTTTGGCTACAGCAGCCAGGAAAAAAAAAAACCTCTACATACTTGCACACAAGAATTACTGTAGAGCACTTCTGTTCCTTTAAAATGATACCTTCTATTTGTCCTGGAAGGACAATGAAATCAAGCAAGTATTAATTCGATTATGTCCTTTTGTAGAAAAGTCTATTTTTCCCTAAGGAAAATTTATGTTGAAATGACCATCATATTCTGTCTGAAGTAGCTGTTCGTTTGCTTCCATTTAGATGCTGCCAGCTGTTAGAATGCTCAGCTCCCAATACAGGAATTGAAGATAAAATATAAATTAAAATTAAATAATGGTATTTAGTAGAATGCTACTTTTTCTTAGAAACTGACGAAGTTGTAGTAAGCAATTTATTCAATGACCATGGCCATTTTTCATACTAGGAAATTCCTGCAAGGAGGTAATGATCATGGGACACACGTTCAAGAAAGTTCTGCGAACGTTTCTAACGTAAATCTTTGCATATATAAATATGCACGAGCATGCGTGTGTGTGTGTGTATAAGTATAAAGAGGAGTATTTAAGCGATTTGCATTTTTCATGAATTTTTTTCAAAGAACCTATTACTGGTGATGTACTTTTGCACAAAGTTCAAATTACCAGTAAAAGAAATTTAGATTCATGGTTACAGCTTTTTACTGAGGTCTTTTAGAAAAGGATATTTAATCAATGTTTTCTAATTTCAGACTAGGTTTAACTAAAATTTTTCCAATTCTGCTTTTCTGACTATGAACGAGCTCCTAGCAGTACGAGAAGTGAAGAGACAGAATGGTAGGGTCAGGTTCCTTCATTTTTCTATTCACCTCTTCTTTGAATTGAATAGCTTCTCAGTTTTTACCCTCAAACATTACGTATTATGGAATTTTTCCATGTGAAATACCGCATTCTCAAGAGTTAACCTTTCTTGGTCATTCTTGCCTATATTATCAACATTGCCTCATTTTCATTATGCTGCTCTGGTAGTGACCTGCTGTTAATAAGAATTCTCAGAAATAGAAATAAACTCAGC